GGGGGGGGGGGGGGGGGGGGGGGGGGGTGCTCCGAATTTGTGATCCCTCGGTGGCAATACATGTCTAGATCTTTCGTTGCGGTAGCAATATATTTATACATATACTTAGTTCGTAAGACAGATTGTTTCACGGTGCCTATGAACTAGTTTGTAAGCTGTTAATTTTCGATGTTGTATATTTGAAATATACATTACAAACAAATTGCCGGATTCGCGTCCGTATAGGAGATGGGTGCTATTGTACAAAACGCCGACAATAAAAGATATTTAATGTTAGGGATGCTATTGTATCAGCGTATTTTTTTCTACGATTAAACTATTTACGAAAGTATCGGATCTTATTGTTTTTATTTCTACAACGTTTTGTTTAGTGTTCGATTGGAATTGTTTTATTCATAATTCGTTCTGCAACTTTAGTCAATTTGGGGAGTTTTGGGATACGGTCTTAGGATAATATTTCTCTACTCGTTAAGCGCACACAAAATTAAGAACTGATGTTTCCAAACTTTTTCTGGTACAACTTTAATGGAACTCTGTAGGTGATAACGTATATAAATAGGATTGTCGGCGTATTATATTTGTTTACGTAAGTAAAGTATTAAATACATTATTGACAGTATACGCTATTTACAGTACGACGAACGTTTATAATACGTGATTGCCACTCTCGCCACAAAGTAGTCCCATAACATAACTCGAATCCGTAAAACAAACGAACGTTTCAGGTTTCTTGACTAAATGACAATAATCCTTTCTTTAAAACAACGTCACTTTTCAACGGAACAATCAACGCAACAATTATATTTCCCCATTCGATTCTTTTCGAACTGTGTGTATACAATAACTGTAAAACATCCAGAACGATTCACTATTTCCGGCGGTTCCGAGTGAACAATGTAAAAAAAAAAAAGGAAAACGTTAAACGTTAAATAATTCTTCGTTGTACCAGACGAACATAAATTAGAACCGCGCCGCTGTCATACACACCAAAACACAACTCTCAACCGGATTACCATCGTACAGATTATCATTCTACGACTGACCAGATTATTTCTTCGAAAGGAAAAAGAAAAGCTACTCCGAGTTCTACACACACCCTACACTCTCTATCTAGATTCGTTGTACGGTACATAAAATAAAAGACGTCACCTTTGGTCCCAGTGATAGAAACTTAAATGTTAATTGTATTGATTAGGACGTGTGTTAGTCAACGTGGACTCAACCGTACGAATCTAACGGGTTTTCAATTGTTTCTTCTTTTCTTTTTTTTAAAGTTAGAACAGTACGGTTGAGCGAACTAGAATGTAAAAGGAAAAACTTAACAAGAAAAATCGCATGGACTGCATCGTGTAATGAGCAAACTCGTTTCGAACGAACCGGGGACAGGTTCGTTGACTATTTGGACACGATAATATGAAGACTCTCCTTTCCCTGTTTTGTTTCGATCGGGAAAAACTTTACACGTTCTATGTACATTCTCGACCATTTCAAACGACAACGCCGCTTCTCTCGGTTGTGCAACTTTTTACACACGATATATTTACACACGAATGATTTCCAGCAAGAAGAAGAACAAACAAAAAAGAAGATATAAATAAAACCCCTCCGATTCGTCGCTACGGCTTTAACAAGAGCACCAAGCCGTCTTCGGTACGGTGATTTCGCCACCATTAGTTGCTTCAGACGATATTCGAAACGAATATTGAGATACATCGGCGAGGATTCGATTCATTGCAACAACGACGATCGGTGGTCACAATAAATTCGAATGGTCTGCCGTCAGGAAGGCACTTAACGTCTTTCCGTAGCCTGTAACCATAAATTCTTGTTAGCCTTGTATCACTGTGGAAATCTCTTGTCCAAGCAAAACAAACCAATGAACCAGTGAACTTACTAAAAGAGAATTTTCTACAATTAGAGATACGCAACCTTGTCGGCTTAGGAAATTCGACATTTTTGTAACATTTATGAGCAGGATGCTCATAAGTGAAAAAAAAATCAGATTCATTCATTTCTTTCAGGCTTCCAAGGTTGCGTATCCTTTTTAGAAATGACCACGAAGTAAAATTCGGACTATTTTTTAGCGTCCAATGTTTCACTGCCTTTATCGTCCCTTTTTCAGTCACTTCCAATCTACTTCCTTCAAAGACTCTATGCAAATGCGAAATGTTCACGTTAAGATGCTTACGCTCTTCAAGTTCTCACGACCCCCAAAGTTTCGAATCGACTCCAACAACACGTCCCTCGAGTCTATCTGGACAGGCATCGATTTGGGCCTGGCACTTTTCAATGTGACACCCGTTATAACAGGCATCGTGGGTGGCCTAGGCGGTTGGGGGACAGACGACTCTCTAGGGAACTCTTTTGCAGGCTCTTTGTTTTGGTTCTTCGGTACCCCATTTGGAAGCTTGAAACCCTTGACAAATTGCAAAGGCTGACCATCTTTGCCACTGATGCCATTTTTGAGAGGCGCCTGATTTTGAGGATGCAGACCCACTACCGTGGTAAATCTCTTGGATTTTAATGTGTCTTGGTTGTTGTTGGTCAGGTACTCATCGTTGCTGCCATTGACTTTCTCAGAGTTGGTGAAATTCGTTCCAATTTGAAGATCCGAGCGTCGGTTTAAGGTGGTCCGTTTCGGTTTAGGTCGAAGTGTAACGTCCTGGCCAAAGGCTTTGGACAGCTCCTTGAAGTTCACAGGAGTTGTGTCAATAACAGATTCCTCCTGCTTGTTGTCGGGAGAGTTCTTCTTCAGCTCCACCCCGGTTACCACCGGTTTGGGATCCAAATGGACCTTGTTCAATACTGGCTTCTTAAAACCTGTCGCTGTTGTATGTGTGATCAGTTTTTTGGCCAGTTCGTTCGGTTCTCTCCTCTCCAAAGTTGTAGCTTCAATTTTCTTGCTCTTGTCTAGGACACTTAGAGGTCTTGCGGAATCGTCGCAATCGGTTGAACCGTCTCTTTCATCCCTGCTGCCGTTTATATTTACAATGGTTCTGTTGTTGGGCTTGTGCGCGCCTAACTTGGAGTCTGTGTCCCTCTTCATGTGAATATTGTGACTCGGTCGCTCTGACCAACTGCCTAAATTGATGGCTGGTGGTCCGGAATAAATGTAACGCTTCGTGTTGGTTGCCGGTGGCATCTTCTTCGTTTCTGGCTCGGACTTCTTATCGGTGCAAGTCGTCGCTACATTCGAGTTGATCGAATGTTCGTTAGACGTAGTCTCGGGTCTGAAATTAATTTATTAGTTAGAATTTTGCCTTCTCCAAGAGTCTCTAAAAGCTTACCTTGTTTTCTCAGGTAACACTGCGCCATTAGATTCTTTGGACACATTTTCCTCCGCCTGTTGAGCATTTTTCAACTGCGGTAAAATGCTTTTCAGTACCTGGAGATAATAATTCAGCGTTAGAACCATAATTGATGTTACCAAAGATTTGATATCCGTCCGCAAAAACGTACCTGTAAAGACTGCAGTTGCTTCTCTTTGGTAGGTTCCTCTTGCCGCTTTAGGATGTTGTCTCTCCATTGTGAGAACTTCTCGTTGCTTTTTGGTAGACTGATGTTGTTGATGCTCGTGGCCTTCTTCATCCCAGAATCGCCCATCTTCACAGCATTTTTATTGCTCTTGTCGTCTTCATCTTCGCACACGGTCTCTTGGAACTTAGACTTATCACATACAGAGACGTAACTCTTGGACCTCTGTATATTGCTCTTCTCGTTGTCAGATTGCCACCTGTGTAGGGTCTGAGTGTTTGTCTTTGGTTCCAGCTTCCTATCACCGGTATCTTCAGTTTTCGTCTTTCTCTGCAATGTGCCAATACCAAGATCTTTCGTAGCTCTATTATTCTCTTCATCGTTGCTATTTTTGTTCCTGGAAAGTGTCGCAAAGGACTTAATGAACCTCTCATCCTCCTTCTCTTGAAACTGTTTCTCCGTCTCTTCGAATATGTTCAAACTTTTCTGTCTGGTGTAAGTGGTGATGGTAAAGTTCGACAAGGTGTTGTCTATAGGTGCTATCTTGGGTGTCGAAGAGATATCCATAGCTTTCTTTGAGTCAAAGTCCTTGGAATTCTGTGGCAACGTACCTATCTTGGTTTCCAGTTCAGAGATTATCACTTTCTTTAAGTTAGGATCCAATGATTTCAACTGTGTATGATGTTTCTCTTGTTTGATCACATCTTTTCTGACTTCTTTATCAACGCCATTTTTGTTCTTTGACGCTTGTTGGCTCAAAATGGGGCTCTGATTTCTGTTGTCCAAGGATTCAACGTGTTCCTTGTGCTCCGAATCCCTGAACAATTCAGGTGACGAAATCACCTCATCGTAGTTCTCTAACACTGGTGAATTTGAGTCTCTGAAGGCACTCGGTGGCGCTGGAAGCTGGTACTCCCAATCTGCAATGGACAAGTCCTCGTCAGCTGCTGATACATAATCGGACGTGTCTTGCTGTGAATTGACTGTTAGGTTCGGCGTGCTGGTATTCACGATCGCAGTATCCGTGAAATCGTGATTCTGCTGCTTCGAGTTCTCTTCGTTCAAGGTCTTCTTAGCGCTCGAGGAAATGGTTTCTTTGGAAATATTCGCTTTTTTTGACTTGGCCTCGACGGGAGCAATGAATCTCTTGGCAGGTACTTGGTTGGAGCTCGAAACTGGCAGAGAGTTGGACAGTGTGTCAGATACCTTCTGCAGCAAGACGTCAGTTTCTGAGAGGTTGGCATCTGTTTATCAAAACGTAATCAAAATTTGAGTATTCTTTGCTGTGGAAATAGAGATATGTTAAGTGTTCGATTAGATAGGTACTGTACAAATAGAAACTATATGAAAGTCTACTCTTATACACCCTGTTCTCAAAACCACCGAGAGAATAAAATTCAAACAATAAGCTAGATGAGTTCAGTTTGTTAGAATGTAATAAATATCCTGAACCTCCAAACATCCTAAGGTCTCAGAAGACCTCAAACTGATACTGATTTTTTTTGAAAAATTCCAAAAGAGCAAAGTGTGTGCCCAACACCACCCTGTTAGTGATATGCAACATGCACCTGGTGCAACCAATCCGCAACTCGACTTCCCTTCACCCTGACTCTGGAAACCAACATTCTCGTCGTTCTCCGGTTGTTGAGTCAGATTCCCAACATTAGACACCACATTCAAATTTAACGCGAACGTGATGTCCTCTACGTGCGAAGTTAAATGCCTCTTCTGTTTTTCTAGAGGGTTGGTCTCGAAGTCGTTCGACTTTGACGCCGTTCTAGGGATCCTTGGTCTTCTCGAATCCTTCGCACCTTCCCCATATCTATTCTCACTGCTAGCATCATCGATGCTAGCTTGCACCTTGGCGCGTCTCTTTTTGAACAACGAGCTTCCCTTACTTTCTACGAGTTCATCAAGGTGCTCGCACTTGGGCATGGTTGAAATTACTGCGCACGTTTCCTTTTCTTGGCCAGTAGCTTTCTTCGCTGTCAATGGACTCTGTTTATTTTTGTCCACCGCAGTACTTTCATTCTTCGATGGCAACTTGGTCATCATATTTTCCTCCCCATCCTTCTCTCCTGATGTTATTGAGTCATAATCAAAGGATGCCTGAGTCTGGTCGATTTCAGGAGTCAGGAATATTTCTTCCTCACTGGTAGAGCAAGTGGAAGAAACTTCCAGCTTCTCAACTGTCCGATCAGATCTGGCCGAGCTTCTTCTGCTAGAGTCAACGCTGTTGCTGCTAGCAGGTGTTTCAGGTAGGACGTTCGAACTCGCGTCACTGCCAGTGGTATCGCTGCTAGAGTATGCAGGAGTGTTCGCCAAGTGATCTACACCGCTCGCGGTTAGCGTTCTACTTGATGGGGAAGGTGGTGCTAGCTTGCGTTTCAATACTTGAGGCTTCACCGATGTATTACTGCTGGTGGAGGTTTTTCTAGGCTTGGGAAGTGGAACGGGTTCTCCAACTGTACTCAGAGGAAAAGAAAAAGAGATACCGTCACCTATTGGTGAAATTAGCAAATAGGTGAAAAGGAGGGAGAGAGAGAGAAAGAGCGAGAGAGAGAGAACTGTCGTGCATGGGATGCAAATTTGTAGAGCATGCAAGATAAGGGTTCGATTTAAACTTAAGTAGTAGCTACTTCCATAATAATACTCTGTAATGCAAAGTCTAAAAGGAGATGGAACGGAACATCAATAGTAAACATTACAGTCAAGATGCCTCACAGCGTCTTGCTCGATGGACAGAAATCAAAATCTTCAAAGAAGGTGCATGTAAAAATTAAAAAACGTACATCTAACTTATGTTACGATATAACTTATGATTTTTGTCCCGTGGGCTTAAATACTGTGCGGCTACACGAATTCGCCGACCCGGCTTTCCAAAATGGAATTCAACTGAACCAAAAACCTATTCCAATTTTCCGTAGACTCCTCTCTGCTAACTAGACCTGGGGGAGGAGGTTCTAAGATGCTCAGTTTCTTCTCCGACTCTATTCTGCACTCGTTGTGCTGAATAATAGGGAGCGATGGCAATTTATCAACACTACTGGGAATCGAATCTATGGTGGTCATTGGAATGTCCAAGGGCTTGGTAGAAATAGCAAAGATCTGCAGATTGCTCAGAGGAGGCGCTGCAGGATTGGACTTATGGCAGTCCATGGGATCGTCGAAGGAGTCTCTATTGAGACTGGAGAAAATAGACCCGTTATGGCACTTGGTGGTGCTTACATTACCTAACTTAGGCTGTCTATTCTCTATCGAGTCTGATCTACCGCTTCTGACGCAGAAGCTGCGGTTCAACAAACTAGGTTTCTCGAAGCTGCTCACTATTTTCGTGTCCTTCAGCTTGATACAATTCTGAAAGCTCAAGCTATGCTTCAAAGCCTTAGCTGGACACCTGTCGTCGCAGATGTAGTTGCCAGAGTGTAGCTTCCCGGGGCTGTATCTGCTCTCTAATATGCCACACTCCGGCATGTTTTCTACATCTGCCGATATGTTATCCAGATCAAGCATCGTTTGCATTTTGATCAACCTACTTTGATTCTTAAACGAGCCTTGGCTAAATGACTGAGGGGTCTCGCGGAGAACAACGCTTTTAGACGATTCATTGACCCTTGTGAAACTCGCGCAAGCGAAGCTTCGGGACTTCTGCACCTTGGAACGCGGCTTAGAATCGTTGCACTCTAGGTCTAAGGACTTGTTAGTAAAACTTTCGAAGAACTCGTCGTGCTTATTTAGACCGGACCTATACTCCTTGATCTTGGAATGCAGCTTTGTCTTTTCAGGATCGAACAGACTCCGATGCCTCCTCATCATTTCCGTTCCTTCCCCTTCCTCTATCATCTGCTCCATGCTATTCCTCGATATAAAGCTGTAGGAAGGCGCATTGTCCTCTATGGTACCGCAACTACGCACTAGCTTACCTCTCTTACGGGATACTCTAACGTCTACGGGAGCGTCTTCTACAGGTACGGTTTTGCCCTCGTCACTGGGCAACTTAACGTTTATGGATCCGGATCTGACACGCAGTTCGATGTCCATTTTACCAGGCTTCGAGTCTACAATCAAGGATTTCGGCTTGGCGAAGTTGATCTTTGCACCCGCGGTGGTCACTCCAATGTCCGAGCTAGCTTTTGGACGTTCCTCGATGTCCGAGTTCGCCTTGGATGGCGCGCCAATGTCTGACGGCGGCTTCGAAGGATCCATGTCCGATGTGAGGGACTCCTCGGAGTCCACGATGCGCTCCAATGCTTGGGTGGAGATTGCTGACGACAATGGTCTGGCTCCTGGAGGAAGGGGTGCTGCTCTTTTCTTTCGTAAACCTGTCGAACAGTTGCTAGTCAGTCTGGGCACTAGTTAGCTGATAGGACGAACGACAAAACTGGGTAACAAGTGACTTTCTACAGGGGTTGGATAACATAATGGAGAAAACCATGTAGGAAACATGTATGGACCAGCTAGTAATTCCTTTTTTTTTTAAACTAATATTTAACCCCTTGCTGTACTTTAACGAGTTTAACTCGTGACGAAGATTTCTAGTAAGATCCTGTTAAATATATTATAAATGTTATTCCACTCTTTTAAGTTGGTATACGATTCTGTTCTTTTCTCCACTGGTAGGCACATAATAAATACAAATTTTCTTCTCCTTCTAAGAAATTATATATATATTATTATAATATTTCTTATAATATATAATTTATATTATTATAATAATATTATAATATTAATTATAATTATAATATGATTATAATATTAATTATAATTATAATATAATTATAATATGATTATAATATTAATTATAATAAATTATAATATTATTATAATTGAAAAACTTCTGAACGTCATAACTGGGAAGAAAATGATACCAGCAAGGGGTTATAGTACCATCGATACAACCCTTGTACTTAAGGTGAAGCTTAAGTATCTACAGTTACAGTTCCAATACTTCACATATCCTCGAGAAGCAACGGAGGGGTCGCCTTAAGGAAATCTCGGGACAATACTACAGAAGGAATTCTACCTGTAGAACTCAACGAGGTGCTGCTAATTCCCCGGGAAAGCGTACCAGGAACGCTAGCCAGATTGCTGAGGCTCTTACTAGACTGAGAGGTCTGTGCCAACTTCCTCGGCGTCTCTAACGGCAGTCTGCCTCTTCTCGGGAGGGTTTCCGGAAGTCTTCCAGCAGAATCCGGGTTGTCGCTCAACACAGACGCCTCGTGGTACCCAGAACTGTCACTACTGTTACGACTGTGACTTATGACTACCTTGTCTTTGCAGGAGTCGCCCGCGTTCTCCTCAGAACCCTGTGGCAAAAGAATATATTTTTAGATGACTACGTTGAAATTTTGAAATGTCTGCTATACTATTGTCATGGTATTTCTTATATATTCAGTATCTAGATTTTCTAAACCCCCTCAACACTAAATATAATACAAATAATAATACACTAAAATAATACAACCCTGGTCAAAATGACCGTTTTCTTATTTTGCAATTCTACAAACTTTAGAGACTCTTTCATGGGAAATACTTCAATAAATTACCTTACTGAAGCAAAATGAATAAATAAATCTAAATAAATTCGATTTTCTCGCTTTTATGAAGCAGTGCACGCCAGTTACTGTTACTGCTTGGCAGGTTCAGTGTTAATATCAAGACTGTCTAAAGCCTTAGCATCCATTTTAACAAAAAGAAATAAATATATAGTTCCAAAGTCTTCCAATCCAAACCGGTGTCTGACCTCTGCGAGGATGTTCCGTGCTATGATAAGCGGCCCGGAAACATTACTTACTTCCGGCTGAGCCTCGACAGGCGGCTTCGGTGCAGGTCTCCGTTTCCTCAGCGGCCTGGCAGGCGGTTGAAGTGGACTAGTGCTTCTCCCGGTTTCGTCGCTCCTAGCTGGCGAAGCGCTTCGCCCGCCTAAGCTATCCGTGCTCAAAGAACACTCCTTGGACTTCTTGAATACAAAGCCGAAGACACCTTGCTTGGCTTGCTGCCTCCTCCGTTCCTCTTGCCTGTGCAGAACCATTATGTCCTGCGTGCTGAGCGCAGAGCCCAGGGTCCTTCCTTGCTTGGCGTACAATGTAACTTCTTGGAGGTGATAGTCTTGCAGAGACAGGGACAGGTCCAGGGTTTCCAGGTTTGCTGGAATGAGACAATTGTGCGACTTTAGTAAAACAGGATCTGAGCTTTCTGGATCTATTATTTTTTTAATACTGAATCCATCATGTCTGGGACCAATATAATAACTCTGCTATTAATCTTGAGTATAGTAAATATTTTCAGTTGTTCTAAAGCTGTTGAAAGGGAGCTCCGCGAGCCGGGGAAGGTTGTCGACCTGTGCCATAATCCAAAATAAAAGTGCGATAACCGAGGGGAACGGCGGAGTTAATTAGGACACCTCGGCAGCAGGATTCGCGGGAATTAATTAAAGCGGATGGCGGAGGAATTCCCGTGGAATCGGCGATTGGCCGATGGTGCGAGCTCATCCTAGAAGGGGTATAGAAACGCCGAGCATGCGAACGGAGACCGTGCACGGCTAACGACTAGAAGTAACAAGTGGAAGAGCCGGCCGCGGCAACCTTGCGATAGCGATCTTAACACAACTGGCTGGTGTAACTAGCTAACTGAAATATCTCGTGCACCGGCACACGTAAGGACTCGGCATCCACAGGGTGTCTGAAATATACGGGGCTGGGAGAACCGTTGTCAGTGAATGGCAACTGTGCTATAATTGTGAACTTATCAAGATATTTTTCAATAGCCATGGTAATTTCATCTGTGAACCTAGTTCAGCTAACTGAACAAGCTGTCTTGAGCAGTACTCTGAAGATCCTGATGCAATGGCTGGGTTTATTCTGAATTAAGCTTCTTTAGAACTTGAAAGAAAACTGTTGGAATTGTTATAAATATAACAGAAAGTGTTAACAAGTTTATTGACTCTTGAGTAGAGTATAAGTAAGTAAGTAAGTATAAGTAAGTATTTGAATCAATACCGACTCACTTTTTGAATAATGGCTCGTATAATGATCTTCAAGTGGCCTCAGAAAATTCTGATACAATACTTGGACACACTTTGATCCATCCATTCTAATTTTGCGGAACTGCTGAGATTCTTGTATAGCACGATTATTGAAATATTTGTTGATACTACTTATAAAAGTTTCATATTATGACCGTCAAGTGATCCTAGAAAATTCTGATGCACTGCTTGGGTACATTTTGATCCACTTAGTCTAATTTTGAAGAAAATTGCTAGGATTTTTGTACAGCACAATTATTAAAATATTTATTGTACCTTAGACTGTGGTATCTAGATCAATGCTACTTACAAAAGTTCCACATTGTGACCCCCAAGTGACCTTAGAAAATTCAGATGCAATGCTTGGCTACATTTTGATCCACCCAGTCTAATTTTGAAGAAAATTGCTAGGATTTTTGTACAGCACAATTATTAAGATATTTATTGTACCTCAGACTGTGGTATTTAGATCGATGCTACTTACAAAAGTTCCACATTGTGACCCCCAAGTGACCTTAGAAAATTCAGATGCAATGCTTGGCTACATTTTGATCCACCCAGTCTAATTTTGAAGAAAATTGCTAGGATTTTTGTACAGCACAATTATTAAAATATTTATTGTACCTTAGACTGTGGTATCTAGATCAATGCTACTGATAAAAGTTCCACATCGTGACCTCCAAGTGGCCTTAGAAAATTCAGATGCAATGCTTGGGTACATTTTGATCCACTTAATCTAATTTATAAGAAAAGTAAGAATGTATTAAGAATGTATTCTACAATTTGAAAGGCTCATGCCACGACCTTCAAGTAACCTTGGATACCACCCACAGACTTGCGGTATCTGAAGTATTAACAGACGCGATGTAACAGGTGCGATGCTTGAACTAGATAGAACATCGAGTAGATGGAAATAAGTAGAAACCTGACGCCGATGGTAAAGATTGATCTACTTTTTTCTTTTTGCAACGTTGCTCGAGCACACCGTTGCCTGAAATCTGGATCGTGTCACACGCCGAAGACTCGTAGGAAGACTTTCATTCGCGCGGTCGACGGGAATGCAGAATTTCAGGGAAATCGGATTGCGAAGGCTGTTATGTACGTACATACGTGTACATATTGTACGTATATTTATATGCGCCGGCTGCACGGCTTCGGAAGCCATATTGGTCGAGGCAAAACGAGCCGTGCCGCGGGGCCACTGACTTTTCGAACCCGATACCATTTGCGCATTCATATTTATGACAATAGGTGACGGACAAATTCCAATATCCATAGCTAAATGTATTCAAAATCGACCAGCACATTTGTTCCTTTTAATAGACAGTTGTTAGGTAGCTGACACACTAAAACTACTTTCATACTTTTTATTCTTATTTCACTTGTATATTTAATTATTTTTCACAATTTCATCTGTCTTTCATATTTAGGTATTTTTAATAATCCTATTCTAACAATTTTATTCCTCTACGTTTGGCTACTTTTAATCATTTTATTTCACTTGTACATTTAACTATCTGTTACGATTTCATTTGTCTTTCATATTTAGGTATTTTTAACAATTCTATTCTAACAATTTTATTCCTCTATGTTTGGCTGTTTTTGACAATTTTATTTCACTTGTACATTTAACTATCTCTTACGATTTCATTTGTCTTTCATATTTTGATATTTCTAACAATCCTATTCTAACAATTTTATTCTTCAACGTTTGGCTGCTTTTGATAATCTTATTTCACTTGTATGTTTCACTATTTTTTACAATTTCATTTGTTTTTCATATTTATGACAATAGGTGACGGACAAATTCCAATATCCATAGCTAAATGTATTCAAAATCGACCAGCACATTTGTTCCTTTTAATAGGCAGTTGTTAGGTAGCTGACACACTAAAACTACTTTCATACTTTTTATTCTTATTTCACTTGTATATTTAATTATTTTTCACAATTTCATCTGTCTTTCATATTTAGGTATTTTTAATAATCCTATTCTAACAATTTTATTCCTCTACGTTTGGCTACTTTTAATCATTTTATTTCACTTGTACATTTAACTATCTGTTACGATTTCATTTGTCTTTCATATTTAGGTATTTTTAACAATTCTATTCTAACAATTTTATTCCTCTATGTTTGGCTGTTTTTGACAATTTTATTTCACTTGTACATTTAACTATCTCTTACGATTTCATTTGTCTTTCATATTTTGATATTTCTAACAATCCTATTCTAACAATTTTATTCCTCAACGTTTGGCTGCTTTTGATAATCTTATTTCACTTGTATGTTTCACTATTTTTTACAATTTCATTTGTTTTTCATATTTATGACAATAGGTGACGGACAAATTCCAATATCCATAGCTAAATGTATTCAAAATCGACCAGCACATTTGTTCCTTTTAATAGGCAGTTGTTAGGTAGCTGACACACTAAAACTACTTTCATACTTTTTCTTCCGGAATTAAATAAATTTCTTAATTGAAACACATGTTTTAATAACAATAGCGAAAAGTCTGCATAAATGGAGTATTGTCGTTTATGTGACAATTTTCGTCGCAACGTTAGACAATTTTAGGTAGGTTTAGTGTTAATTAACTAGTGCTACAACTTCGCCGAAGCTTTTAATTAACTAAGAAAATGGTCCCTCGTTTCGGCACCCATGAGACTCTGCACGAAACTGGCAATTTTCAGTTACTTAATGCTACTCTTAAATAAACACACTTCTCTTATCGCATAATAATAATGATAATAGTAATAATAATAATAATAATAATAATAATAATAATAATAATAATTCCGCTGGAGCAGTTTCTGCGGAGGGTGTGACGACCGCAATCTCGGTTCCCCGTAATTTACGTTCAGAAATGAAAATTTATATTCAGAAGTTTCCTGTTCATTCTCTCCAGTGGGAGGCCGACCAGTTTGGCGAGCACGTCGCGGCGAATAAAATAAAATTATGCAGGTCCTTCACTATTAACTTATCGTCGAACAGAGTTTCACGGTTCTGATAAACGCGCCAGCGAAAACACATTTCCGTCCGTGTATCACCTCCAATTACCGAAAAACGTCCGGTCCAGCCTTCGGGGCGTATAGATAGCATATTTAATGAACTGTGATTCATTCGTGCGATGGTGAATCGCCTGTTAGAGTACTTGTTCGGTCGTAAAAGGGATCGGATCGCTGGGAATATTTTAAATCGGAGAGCTTCACGATCACGGCGCCATTACGGCACGGATTCAATAACATTTTTCGACGGTGATGCCTGCCTGACGGGCCCCGGAATGATATTCACGTCGCTCGCCTGTGTTTTTTAACAAACGCCATCTAATAACATACGATATTTATTATTTATCACTGTTACTTTCATCGCCGTCGATTTCTTGTTAATAAGGGAAACAAATATTACAGTGAAATATAATTTACAATCATTGTATATAAAAAGAAAACAACATTCTCGGTGTAGTCTCTTTAGTTACTTTCTAATCGTGCCGGTGAATATATTTTTTATCGTTAATCCTTTGCACTCGGAATTATTTTAATTCTAAATCCAAAAATAGCCTTTCTTATTTACGGTATTTTCATTTTATATGACTTATTGCAATTTTATTATATTTTATAGATTCAGTCTTGTGACTCGTACAACAGTTTTCCTTACTTAACTTGAAAACTTAATTATTATAATTATTATTATTATAATTATATAATAATAATTATTATTATTATAAATTATTTTGGAACGTGATTCAACAATCTTTAGTGATGTCTCAAAGGGTTAAGATGCAAAAATACACCCACACTTTCTCACAATTCTTCCAATTTCTAGCTTTCGAAAATTGATATTGACAATATCAAAGACGACAACGGAACTAAATAACAGCTTTTTCACATTATACAGCGTATATTCGTACGACGGTTCGTTCGTCGATATTTTTTCTGAAGTTATTTCGTCAGAAAAACAATTTTATTAATTTCTTCGCATTCGAGGATACGCAAAAGGTCGCTGCAGATCATGCAAATTCAGGTTTTTTTATGGGCAGACTGGCAAACGAGAATTCTATACAGACATTTATTTCCAGCGTTAATAGTTTCATTAGCAGGCAAATGAATAATTTATTACGCCGTTTAGACGTTTCTAATTTATATTGTAAACGGAGGTAACTTGTTTTACTAATTATTTTTTTTTTGTACTAATAATGCTTCTGCAGCAATTCGAATGATTAGAGAGCGTTTCGAGGAAATTTGTTGTCAATGATTCATTTGTGAGAAATTAAAATTCTTTATTGGATACTCGATAAGGCAATAGGTTGCATACTGTTCAATTCTCTAATAATCGTTTTAAATTAAAGGGGGAAAAAATTATATGCATTCGGGATTCTGTAATGATCATTGTGACGTTTCCAAGCGATTCGCAGCGAATGTATGGAGGCGGAAGCGAAAGAAATCGGTTAATAATGAATTCCTGATTTGGATAACATCATATACAGTATACGTATAGTCTGTGCACTTATGGTCGGACGTGGACCGATTCGTTCGCGTCTGATATTTAAACCGGTAGCACTGACCAGTCCAAATTTTTCGACATTCTTCCGCGACAGGTTCGAGTAACCTAATCTCAACGATATTTTTCGAAAAAAAGAAATCTTATCGCTGAAACCACTCGCAGGCCGTTGAAAACCGCCGATCGAAAAACAGGATCTCCTTGGCGTAACGAGACTTTCAAATTTTCAGTCGATGGAATCGGAAATCCCAAATTCACTTTCTCCACAGGCAAGCTTATGCATATATCCTTTCACTGAAACCATGGCTAATTGAACTCATTGAAGGAGCCGTTCATTTAAAATTATTCAATCATTATTGAAGATCGTGAAAGTTTATTTGATTTAACTTCACCGACCTTTTAACAGCTATAAGAAATTAAGGTTGATACGTTAATTATTATGTTTTATTGATTGGTAATTTTAGTTGTATTCTCCATTTTATTGTTAGTTATTTTTAACCATTTTATTTGCCCTTTATATTCGTATGAATTTCTCAGAATTCTACACTAACAATTTTATACTTTTATACTAACTATTTTACAACTTCAAT